GAGCAAGCTCGTGAAGCCATCATGGCAAAACCTGTCAGCTCGAGAAGAGGCTGTTCAGATGGGTCGACACGTCGATGGGAACTAGCAAAAGTGCAAAATGCCCCCGTTGTCGCCGCACTGTCCCAAAGACCAAATACTCTCCGAAGCTTATGCTAGTTCGAACGAAAGTTTACGTAACCCATTGGCCAACCCCAAGCGAAGTTTTTCTCAGAAAACGAACAAACCTGAAAAAACAGTTGGTACTTCTTTGGTTAGATTCGCTATAAATGGTACGTAAATATTTTCTTTTCTTGAATACTCTTTTTCTGAGAGGGGAAGGTGAAGGGAATCAATCTCAAGTGACCTGGAACTTTCATCTCGCTTTAGACCACTGAATCACCGTTGAACTTTGATGCGATTATATGTCACAGTCACAACTCTACTACCTTCGTGGTGAAAAAGTGTCGGTTGGGCACGTTGCAATGAGCGTTTCCTAGCTAGTTGACTCAGCATACTGTGGCTCTTCCATAGTAAATTACGTGACATGACACCTACGTGTGCGTGACAGTTACGTGAAATCTTGAACTTTTGTGCATGGTCGTTACGAAACCCTGAGACGCAGGCGGATAGAGGGCAGCGGCGTATGGCGAGCCAGTACCGTGTCGTGGGATTTTTCAAGGGGAGGGACTCCGGGGTGGGTGAGCTACTTATAGTCGGTGAAAACTGGAATGAGCGAAGTTAACTACAACGGCCATAGAGTGCCATGCGGACGACAGAGTGCAGAGAAAAGGAGAAAATCGACGCGTTCAGAGGGATTGAGTTCAAGTTGTCCGTGGACCAAATTTATAAGGTCCTGTAGTGCCGCGCACATAACAGCATCCGCAGCACGCTTGCTGTGGCAACATGAACCTCCCAGGTCATAACCGGTGAAAGAGTGTCATTAATGATACACTAGGAACCATCTCGTCTTTTGTCCCCAAGAAAGTTCGCAACCTTTTCACGATAAACTCTTTGGAAACTGAAATCTTTACCCAATAGTAGATTAAAATTCGTTCGAAGAATAAGCTTTATTTTGTTGAAAATGTTGCAAAAGATATACAGCCCTACACCCACTGGTTGTTCTTCCTGAATCGACCGCCAGTCGATCACCATTGGTAGAGCAAGAAGTGGTGGAGGGCCCATCCCGCATCTCCAGTGCCGCCCCGACTGATTGCGACGTTAATTATAAAGACTTCTTGAATTGATGAGGAACACCTGTCCATTTTTAATATATTTAAAACGCTCTTGTTAGCTTCTCGCCCGATATCTCGCATTGCAGGTGGAACTATCTCGTCCGTTGGTCGATACGTCAAGAAATATGGCATCAGTACCGAGATCGTTCTCGCCGATACGCAATTCTCCATCTACTACGATTATGTCATGTACGGCAGGTTAGGTTTGAACACTGTTCTCCCTACAGGAGGAGCAATCCATATCCCGGCGATGGGAAGGCGTGGCTGCGTGGTTCTTTCAAACGCGGCGGTGAGTGTTTTCGGTGATACATTGCCGGAAAATAGCAATCATGTCTTCGTTTGGCACGAGACAGGCTGCCTCGAGCTCCTTATGGCAATATATCCCGAAAAACGCATCCTACGCCATGCTTAAGTGCAAGTGCGCAGCCCACGCCCACCCCATCTCCTGGATATGGAGGCCAGTAAGTTGATCAATCGGCATAAGTTGTTCTCGTGCGAAACTTGTCAAATATTTTTTTTTTTTTTTTTTGTATAGTTGACGGTAAAGCCCCGAGCTATGAGTGAGAGAGTTACTCGTGTCGCTGCCAGAACTTTCGAGACGCAAGTTTCAGATTCAAGAAACGAATCTGAGGCGAGTTTATGGGTACGCGCCAGCCTGCCGAATCGGTATGGACCAATGGAAAAATCAAGATTATTCACATCATCCCAGAAATGTTACGTATTTAACCAGAATAAGGCTATAATAGTACTAGACACAAGTGAGTCCTTACACCTTAACTGTGAACGAACCGGTGCCAGCTGCATGAACGAAGTAATGCGGTACTTTAACATCTTGCCCTCCATCGTTTTCAAGTTGAAGGAGAATTTCGTGGAAGAGATTTGCTGATTCGAGCGGAAAATCGCCACCTGAAAAGATTCTGGAGGCCTGTGGACCATATTCACGGAATGAACTTACTTTCGTGGAATTCTTCTGCTTTGTCAGCATTACCAAACTGGATTCATAAAAAATCCGCCATTCTCTGCGGCTAAGTCTCGTGCTCGGATCAATCTGGAAAAGTCGTGGTCCTGGTGGGATAAGTACTGTTGAAAACAAAGACGTTATTCATGGTCACACCTCTCTCCCAACGGCACTTTGACAACTGCCCCACCGTACTCCTTGATATGCCTCACTTTGATGTCTTCGATGGTGTCGGGAACCTGAAAAATGCACGTCATTGCCTTATTAGTTATTTTTTTTATTAGTTGAGTGGGACCGGCGCTATTCGAACTGCCTTGAGGGCCCATCTCGCGGCCACAGGAAGGGCGGAATATGGTCACGCGTCTCTCCTTCAAACGAGCTAAAGGGGTGGATGTTGCCCATGAGGAAAGCACCATTGTTGCAAGCATCCGCTCATATTTGCGAGCTCACCCTATTGGCGCAGAATGTGCGAGCAGGGTACAGCATCGTTGTGTGTAACACATTAGGGGGTCGTACTTTTCGGCTTGTAGGGGGGTTGTATGTGGCTTTGAGAGAAAATTGCGGCGTTGGGAAAAATTTTCCCGGTTAATGACTTATTGCGTGATTTTATTGTTTCTATGATTTAGAACCCCTCCCCCCCCCCGCTCGCGATAGCAAAATTTTTGGGAAATAGCGAATAATTTTCGGAAAATTCCAGGAGCGTTGTTGGGAAGTTGGGGAAAAATTTCGTATATTTTCCCGCCTTCACATTTGGCAACTACCCCCCCTCCCCTCTGAAAAGTGGGAACGGAAAATGTGGGAAACTGGTGGTAGTTGATGGGAAAAGGAAGAGGGTCATTTACTCGAGACCTCCTGATTAGGGGTGGGGTTGTACCGGGGGCCACCATTTTCACACATTCACAAATGCTATACCTCTGTGCGAGTTTTTTGGGGATTATTTTATAGCAACAAATAAAGTTGAAGTAAATAATGTAACTTCTGATGCGATACTCCAGATTGCGGATGGTACACGTTAAGAAGACTGGCAAATGTAGGACGTGAAGCGGCAGTATTGCCTAGTGATGCTTACGTACATTTGTGGTCCCTTAACTATCTAATTAGTAGCAGAATTCAGTGCAGATGAAAATGCCACGAGTGAGTGACTAATTACCTTATTTCACATGCCTTCGAGTTTAGAGCCATAAGTGTGAATGCTGGATTGCTTTAATGAACCAGACCGTGATGCCGATTCGTTTTTGAATATTATATCTACGTTCTTCTGTCCTATGTACTGAAATGAAAAAGTTATCATGTCTCGTATCCTATCGGGATGGGGGTCAAGAGATCCGCGTTGCGGCGGTGCAGCGAAAGCAGCGTTGCAGATCGTCCTCACGAGGACCTAATTCATTCAAAGTAGGAGTCTTGCAAGGAGTCAAGTATCTGGGAGATGCCACTTACTTTGACATAGCTTCCGCATGCCCTCACAACCCAGATCTCCTGACTCTTCCCTGTTCTCGAAAGAACACACGCTTTGAAACCTTCCAAGCTCTATATTTTCGTTTTTTTTTCGGCTCACATCAAGAAAGCCCGGTCAAAGCAGCTCCAATCAAAGGAAGCCTTCTAAAAGAAAGGGTCAACTCCGCAGCTTTATGGACAACCCAGCTTGACCATTTAGGTGGAGTCCGACCCGCCATTGTGCCTTTTTCGTTGGTGTGTTTTTCGTCGGAGGTGAGGGCCGATTAAGGCACAATGGTAGTCCAAGTGCCACCTCTATGGTGGTGTGGACTGGACTTTTACCAGTTTTCAGGGCACTTGTAAGCAAGGTATTCTCGATAGCGTGACCCCCACCTCCTTCTCGTTCTCAGGAAACGTCCAAAGCGGGACTTTTGATAAGAATAAGTACAAGGAGAAAGTATTGTCTTCTGTACTCGCAGAGAGAAAAAAAAAATACAAGAGAGTAGAAAAGGATAAAAAAAATTAAGAAAATCTCCGAAAACAAAAACCTAACATTAAATTTAAACAGCGGCGTATGAGACATCTTTTTTCTTTCTTGCCACATCCGCCGTATTGCCAATTTCGTCCAAGTACGATCCTCTGAAATCAATATCTATACTAATATTCAATTAGATTAACACTCAGGAGCGCAGTCCAGGCTGGTCGTACGGGTGGAGCCAGGCGAAACAAATCATTGCTGTTTTGTAGCAGCTTTTCCATCTATGACTATTTCTTCTTATAGTATTGTGACTTCCTCATTGTCCTCAATTCGCCTCAACGTCCGAGAAGGAAGAACTCACCAATGAGAAGCATGCCATATAATTCCT